AAATGTTTTGGAAAAGTCTAACGTTGTTTTGAACAACTTGTGTTACATAAGAGGGCTCACAATCATTAGGTTGTCTCCAGAAAATCTCGGATGCACCCAATAACACAAAATAAGCACCAACCGGGACTATTAATCTTAATCGATAGATTGAATATGAATATCAACCAAGATTATACCAAATTACTGGCAAACGAAAAACTCAAATTTACCGTTGTCCCCCCCCCACAAACAAAAAAAAAATGACAAGGTGGATGCATTACCTAAATACTGAGATGCTGAGATTCAGAAGTTCATTAGCGATGACGGTTCTGAAAGTGAAAATAGCAGTATTGCAGTAGGGCTGAAGATTACCCGCCACCATTCAAAAGAAAATATCAACTCGCGAGACACTAAGAGATCAACAATTGGGATTGTAAACCTGAAAGGCACACGTGTTGTCATCCAATATTTTCTAAAAAGAGCATAATGACATTCACTTATTATATTAAGAAATCTTTGACTCTAGGCGGAAGACGAAAATACAAGCAGCAACAAAGTTTCATGTTCAGACTCTTTCTTCAGACTGCTCTGAAAGAAGAAATAGAAATTGGCATTTTGGAAGTGAATACCATTCACAGCCGTAGACCCAAAGCATAGAAGCCAAAAGGAAATCGTGCAAATTTATCTGCAAACAAAACATAGATTACTAGACATGCAATGCTAATAAATAGGAATATGATGAGGGAACGCACTCATAGCTCTCTTCACATAAAATTGAAAAAGAAATATTTTCTAGTTTTAGGAGTTTTAAAGGGAAGAACAAACTTTTTTCTAATAGTCTCAAAAGAAACAAAAAATTGGGTCTACAAAAGTGTTAATATTTGTGTGAGCATAAAGTAACTTCAAAATAGGAATAAAACCTACTGATAAATTAAGATTTATAGGCCATTGCTAAAGTGGACAGGGGATCCTTAAAGTCGAACTTGGCACATAACCTGATTTTTGCTGTGGAAAAGACATTATCTTCAATAAAATCCTTTAAAATCATTACAGAAAGAAAAAAAAGGAAAAGAAAAGAAAATTGGATCTATAGCACTGTAAAGCATAAAAATCTTCCCCCCCCCCCCCCCCC